CCCCAAAACCCCAAAACCCCAAAACCCCAAAACCCCAAAACCCCAAAACCCCTAAATGAGATAGTAGTACCTAATTATTAATGTTTTTCTTGACAATCTGGGAAATATTACTTTTCCTCATATTTTTTATTGACCTTGCAGATGATGCTATCTGGCACCATACTAAGTTTGATATCTTCCAATGGGATGTTGCAAGAGTGTGGACTGTGATAGCTATTTACCTTTCAGGAGTCATCTTAGGAAAAGTCAGACTCCATTGCTTTTTCTATTTAGTTTTTTATTTGATAATTGGATCTGCTTATGTTTTCACAGAAACTACTTTTGATCAGCCTATCTTTTATGGTAAAATATTCACTTTATTCATGATTGCTTTGTTCTCCCCTACATATGATCTTGAAGTGACTGGGAAATATGGAGTTGGGCACAGAGATATTTTATTTGAAGAACTTTTAGATTCTGGTGATCTCAGTAAAGAAGACAAAGATTTTATAAAGAAAAGTAGAAGAGCTCCAATATCTGTTTTTTATCCAATTGATAAAGAAATATACTTAAAACAAAAAGGAAAGAGTTCAAAGAATATTTCTAGAACACTTGGAGGAGGAATGACTTCACGTGGGCTTGCCAATGGACTTGGCTCTTTGCCTAATCTTTTGATAAAGGGTTTTCACTTATCAATTTTAGGATTCAAATATTTTACCCAAGAAAGAATCGAAGTCGTTGATAAGCATCCTATTCATCCAGATTTTGGGGAAGAAGGGAGAAAGAAGATCAAGCCTATCTTCTGGTCACATGGTCTTGTGTTTAATAGGACTTCTTATTCAGGAATTTGTAGAGAATTAGCAAGCCAAGGATACATGGTCTATTCCTTTGATCACTCAGATAAAAGCTGCTCTTGGATAAAGGACGGAAACTCTAATATCTTTTACACCGAATTCGATCCTAAAGTTGCCAAGTGCACTGCTGAAGAATATAGAGCAACACAACTAAGACAGAGAATGTGTGATGTAGAATATCTTTTGAAAATAATTGAAATCAAAGAATCGAAATCTTTTAAAAATCTTGATGTTGAAAACTTAATATTCTGAGGCCATTCATATGGAGGAATGACTGCACTTGAAGCATGCCACAAATTCAAAGACATCTTTAAATGCTGAGTAGCCATAGATCCTGTATTTATGTCAAGATACCAGCAAGTTGCTAAGAACAATGAGTTTGTAGTTCCAAAGACACCATTTTTACTTATGAGCAATGAGTGGTTCCAAAGCCCAAAAGTTCCGAGAAGAGATACTTTTGATGATTGGAAGACAATCTGAAAATTTTATGAGGATAGCTTGAGATCTCAGGATGATCCTGACGGAAAGAAAAGCAAGAATGAAATCATTGATGGTTCTTATCATTTAGTGCAGTTTGATTGGGCTCTCAGGGACTCAGTTTTACTAAAAACTTTAGGACAAATAGGAAAGAGGTGTAATGTTGAAGCAAAGCAAAAAGAGACTATCAGAAGGATGCTAGATTTTATCGAGAAGACTCTGGAAACCTAATAGTATTTCTTAAGCTGATAGTTTCAATTAAGCGGATATGGTCAGGGGTTTTGGGGTTTTGGGGTTTTGGGGTTTTGGGG